CCCCTCCTTCCTCAGGCATCGATCTGTTGCTGGTGGCTGCCCATGAGTTTGGCCACGCCCTTGGTCTGGGCCACAGCGAGAAGCCCAGCGCCCTCATGTACCCGTGGTATATGGGCTTCGAGGGAGAGTTTGAACTGCCACACGATGACTGGCAGGGCATCACCAATCTCTACGGTAATGACTGCTTGGGGACCTAATTGTTGTTGTTGTTGTTGGTGGGGATAGTGGTAATGGTGGTGGAGGTGGTGTTTTTTTTACTCTTCTTCTTTTTCCTTTTCCTTGTTGTCATGGTAACATTATCCTTATCATGATGCAACGGTCAGTTCTTTGCTCAGATGCTCTAAAAAAAAAAATTTCTTTGTATTACTTTAGTCTTTCCCCATCACCCATCTGGTCACTGTTCAGGCTTTCAAAGTGGGTGGTTGGCGGGTGCTCTGGTGTGGTTTACTCCTTCTTTCCTATCAAACATCTATCATCCTTATCTCTCCTCCTTTTTTGCGTTTGTTACTCTCTTGTAACCCATTTATTATTCGGCACTTATATGACCTTATTGTGTTGCAAGTGCTGTAAAACTTTTACTAAAACTAAAACAGGCTTTCCAAGTAAGTTGCTCTGAATCAGGCCCTACCCTGCCTCATTTGCCTTCAATTTCACCAGACAGAGAAAAATGTTCAAGGTTTTTATGTTGATTTAAGTCTCCCAGAATCTGCATTTTGTCTCCTTCTAATTGTTTTTATTTATAAATTGGCCCATGTTGGCTGCTTTAAGGGGGCTCCAGTGGCTAAGTGAGTAGTGAGTTTTGACTCAAGCAATGTCAAGCAAGTGTCGGTGACACGGTGATCAGATGGGTGATCAGATAGGTGGTCACTGGAGTGTGTCCTTGAGCAAGACGCGACAAATTACAGGGCGCTGCACAGTGGCGACCGACAGTGGCATTGTTTGTAAACTGTTCTGTATTTGTGTAATAGTGTGTATTTACGTATGTATTAATGTATGTATTTATGTATGTATGTATTTATAATTATTATTTACGTATGTATGTTTGCCATTGTAAAACAAAGTATCTTTCTGGGACAAATAAAAGTGTAATTTATTATTATTATTATTATTATTATTATTATTATTATTATTATTATTACTATTATTATTACCTCATTCGATTCCTTTTCCTTCCAGGAAATTTGGAAAGGTTAATGTACAAAGCATGAAACAGGTAACAACTGAGGTAACAGGCAACATGTAACACTCAAGCAACGTCTCTAATGTCAAATACTTTGCTCTTTTCAACCCCAGGCACAGGCATCAAGGACCGAACATTCCCAGAGAGAGAAAAAGGCAAAGTGAAGTATAAGCCCAACGTGCCCGACGGCAAACCCGTGTACCCAGAGCCCACTTCCCCCACCGCGGGAGACGGCCCACCAGACCCCTGCAACAGCCACATCGATGCCCTGACCGTCATCAGGACGGAAATCTTCTTGTTCATCGGAAAGGTATCGACAAAGTTATTTTAATATTATAGTTTGTAAAACGCATAGAGCTTGCTGTCATTGGTCAAGCGGGGATATGTGCTATACAAATGCTATTTATTATTATCATTATTATTATTATTATTATTGTTATTATTATTACTATTATTATTATTATCATTATTATTATTATTATCATCATTATTATCATTATTATTATTATTAATAATAATAATAATTATTATTATTATTATTATTATAAGTGAATCGATCCTTATCAACGGATTTTTAAAAAACTTTACATGGCATAAGGAGGAAGATGGATTTTCTATGTGCACTGTGTACTTCCCAGGAGGTTAAGATTGTTTCAGAATGCTATCAGGTCTGCTGGGGCAATAATATGGATTGTAAAACGCATAAAGCTTGCTGCTGAGCGGGAATTTGTGCTATACAAATGCTATCTATTATTATTATTATTATTATTATTATCATTTTCATGGTAGTTGATCTATTTAGTCATGAAGAAAATGTACTGATAGCTGAACGTATCGATAGATTTTGTCGTAGCTTTTCGTGGAATAGTATAGCAGATGGTTGTCCCTGTTTCACTGGGATCTGTCCATCAGTTGCTGGAGAAACTCTTTTATTGTAAATTCAAAACAGCACAAACAATATATATATAAGAAACATTTTTTTCTTCTGGGAAGGTCCCATATGTGACAAGGTTTACTGTTGTGAAAACCGTCAATCAAATCTAATATCATACAGAGATAAGTTGTGGTTTTTAAAAAAAATTTTTAATATATGGGAGTTTAAAAAATACAATTTTATACTTCATTAAAATAAAGTGAGTGGTTTTTTTTCAATTTCAAACTTTTAGCTCTTGTCCAGATACCAACTTTCAATTCCTTCATGCAAATTGGCATTTCAGTATATATATATAACAGTTGTTGTATTGCTATACTTGCTGCACAAAACAAAACAAGAGGAGGAAATCCACACTGGGGAAAAGGATAATTCTTCATCCAAAACCTGGAAACATGAACATACAAATAAACAAACATACGAATAAACAAACATACGAATAAACAAACATACGAATAAACAAACATACGAATAAACAAACATACAAATAAACAAACATACGAATAAACAAACATACGAATAAACAAACATACGAATAAACAAACATACGAATAAACAAACATACGAATAAACAAACATACGAATAAACAAACATACGAATAAACAAACATACGAATAAACAAACATACGAATAAACAAACATACTCAAGACAGTTGTTTGGTCAACTGAACTTCTCTGGCAGAATAAATTGTACAGAGAGAGCTTGTAAAAAACGAAATATTAATCCACTTGAAATTTGAGTTTTCACTTACCTCCCATGCCTCTCTCCCAATAGAAATGAGTAAATGAGCCATATTTAACTCTCTCTCTATTCCTTTGTCCCACAGTGGTTTTGGCGTTTGGGACCTCAGAAGCTCATCAACAAGCCGGTGGAGATCCACAAGTTCTGGTACGGACTGCCCAAAGATCTGGAGAGAATTGATGCTGTCTTTGAACGTCCTGACAACAAGATCGTCTTCTTCTCTGGTAAGTTCAGAGGAGCTGAGAGACTTTCACTTTGTAAGTCATAGAATGATGATTGCAACAAATAAAAAAGATATATCTTGCATTTGAAATCAAACTTGTAGAAAGAAAAGGAAATATAGGTGAAACGAGTTTGAAGAGATTTTCGCTGTCTGGAGAATGCTGAAAATGAGGAAACTGAATTTTTTTTAATTGAAAGAGATTCTTTTTCTTTTTCATTTTGGGCAATGTATCCGGATTATTTTATGTTCACTATATTTTGTTTTTGGAATTAAAACTGATAAATGCAATAAAATAAAAATTATGGTATAGAATGTTCATACCATATAATGAAACAAAACTTAAAGAAGTAAAATGTAGTAGATGTTCCTGCTATTTCAACGAAGACAATTCTCATCTTCCCTCACAACAGGAGACCGCTTCTGGGTGTTCAACGCCAACCACCTTCTGTCCAGGTTCCCGGTAGAAGGTCGACCAATCACAGAGTTCAACATTCCGGCCGACGTGAAGAAGATCGACGCGGCCTTCCAGTGGAGTTACAACAAACGGACGTACCTGGTGAGCGGAGACATGTACTGGAAGATGGACGAGAACAACAGCTTTGTGGAGTACGACTACCCGCGCGACATGGGCACCTGGAAGGGCGTGCCAGTCCCAGTGGACGCTGCCTTCATGGATCAATCCGGTGAGGGCTTGTGGTTATGTCGCTCGCTCGCACTGACTGGCACACTTTGTCGTCTTGTCCTTTTCTTCTCTAATTGCCCAGCACTGCTCGTCTTGAGAAAATGAAATTCTATTAAAAACAGTTTTTAAAAAAGAAAGAAAGAAATCCTAGCCTATGAAGATGTGGCATTGTGGAGAAGTTAAGCACTCAGACTGACACTTTTTGTTTTCTTGTCCTTTTCTTCTCTAGTTTCCCAGCACTGCTTTCCTTGAGAAGATGAAATCTTATTAAAAACAATTATTTTAAAATAAAATAATAAATCCTGTTTAGATGTAGCATTGTGGTGAAAATAATAAAATCGAAGCAACAGACATCTTTCCTCCCATAGGGTGATTTTTATTTAAATGTTATGATAACAGAAATAAATTTTTTTTCATGAATTTTACTGAAACTGTTGATCCTGGGCCCTCAAAAAAAAGAGTAAATTTTCAGTTAAAAAGGGCAGTAAAGCTTTGGAAGTTACCAAACTTTGGTGGCTGTTTTCTTGTTCATTCAATATATATACGACACCCCTCACTTCCTTCAATGGCAAGTATCTCAACATCCGTTCAAGGTAGATGGACTTTTTCATCTAAAACAAAATGAATGGAGGAGATTTAGGATTATACCAATAACTCTATATGCCCAAATATTGACAACCCCCTGATCCCAGCGTGTTGTGACACATGTAAAAAGCTTGGTGACCAACCGTACTGAGGCTTGAAGACCACTCATCTTCTAGCTGCTGCCTATTTTTGCAAAAAAAACAACTTTCCTGTCTTGAACACTTACAGTATCGAAGGCTCGTATAGTGAAAAACCCTCAAGTACCGCACCAGTTTAGAATGCTGAAGCCATGGTAGAATGTTTTTTAAATCGAAGAAACCTCGGCAGCCCAAGAAACACGCTTTAAAAATTCATAGAGGTTCATCAGCCAGTAAGTTATCATATATAGTGACTCCCTTTGGTATTTGTTTCAGTGCAGTGCATCCATTCGTTGTTTAATTATGTTTCGTGTGCCTAGTTGCAACGGCGACTAAAGTCACCTGCGGCAGTAAGGGCATACTTCGGCCTGGCGACTAAAGTTACTGAGGGTACTGTAAGTGTTAAGATACATGTAGAAAATATTGTTTTCTGTCAAACGCCAGACTCATAAATGAACAATAGCTGTTGATTTTGTTTGATGAACAATGAGAAGTGTGTAAGTGAGATTTACAGAAAGGTGTACTTCTATGTTTAGAGGCAGACGTCAACATCTGGAGTATTCTTACATCTAGTCCTGTTATCCTTTTGTCTCAGTTACTGAAAGGCGTAGATGGTTATAAAAAAGTATTGGTAAAGTGAAAGACCCCATCTGTATTTGGCTGCTAACTAGACCTCGAAACCCCCCCTCCCCCTCCCTTTTGTATTTCTGCAATTTTGTGGTTTCTAATGTAATGTTCATTCCGTTTTTCATGTATCTTAAAGACAGATGACATTTTAACTTTGAATTTAATGATTCTTGGAATTGCAAACCTTATGATTTTATTTTCTCTCTTCTTTTAATTATTTTTTGGGGAAAAGTTGAGTTCAGCTAAAATGCTGGAAATTTTTTTTTCTACAGATAAAAATCTCTCTATTTCTGCTGTGTAAAAATGTTGCAAATTCAGAATTAACTAAGGAAAAAAGAAAAAAAAGTGGTAATTGGGTCGTTCAATGTTCTTCTTTGGTGGAATTTCCAACAGGTACAACGATCTTCTTCCAAGGTCTGGACTACTGGCAGTTTTACGACATGAAAATGCGAGTTCAGAGGGGTTACCCGAGGCGGATTTCCCATTACTGGTCGCAGTGTGCGGAGAACCTCTCAGAACGGGAAGAGAATCTTGCACTGGAAAGGGACAGAAATCTGGAGGTGAAGACGAGTCCTCTTGACAAAGGAGAAGGGGATACGAACTTGCAGGATGCGGAGCCACTCAACAGTGATGATGGCTCCACCAAGAAAGACGATGGAAATGGATGCACTTTTCTGTACCTTAACAGTCTGATGGTGATCCTTACATTATTAACGCACTATGTTTAGATCAAGGAATTGTTTTGTGGTCCACAAAATGTTCTGTAACTTGTGGGGGGAAAAAAGTTTGGTACTGATTTCCCCACCAAACTCTTTATCCCTTTTCAAAGTCCATTGTTGACCCTATTTGTGGTAGTAGAGTATTCAGATTAGCAGAAAGCTGCTTAATAGACACATGGGCAACAGTCCTGACTCACAAATAAAGGTCTGATTTTGATAATTTATTTTTACTCATTCTTCCTTGTCATCCGACATCTTATGGTGATTGTATGCAATCTGTGACTGTTTCTACTCCTTTACAAATTGTTAAGAAAATAAACAAGCAATATGTGTTAACGTCTACAAGGTAACAAAAAATAAAATAGGTCCTATAATTTTCTGGAACTTTTCTATGAGAAAAAATGTCTGAGTAACTTTTCTATGAGAAAGAAATGTCTGTGTTGGTTATTTTGTCAGTTTTCTGTACCTAGTAGTGTTTTTTTATGGGTTCAATGGTCAGAGCTCTGTTGTCAGAGCTGAAAAGGAGATGCAGACGACATTTGACAAAAATGTAATTTTGGTTTCAAAGTTAGTAACAATCCATCCTCCAATGTATTCCAGTATTGCTCTTGTGACAACATACTTTGGATGAAACCTGCTTACATACAAACAAATCTCTGTCAATGGACTTTTTAAAAAGCCCTCAATTCCCATTATCATTAGATTTCCTTTTGTATAAATACAAATAGATGCTGGTCCAGAAAAACTAGGAGTGTTGTGTCGTTTGAAACTTACTCTCCAAACCATTTCTTTCCGTATATGTGGGAGGTTTCATTTTCAAAACACCTCAATATTTAAAGGAGTTTTACTTATTTTATTAAAGCACAAAATATAAGAAAAATACATTTGAAGGGAGGCAACTACTTTTTTATAGCTTTTATTTTTAAGGCAAGCATATGTCATATAAAGTGATATACACAGGTTGCTGAAATAGAGAAATGAATTGACAGGTAGATGGGGTTTGTGGTATCAACCAAATTCACTCATCCTCTGACAGTATTCATCGAATAAAGCAAACAGTCGAACGATTCGATTTTAATAGAAAATAGTATGTAATACAGAGAGCATTGTACATTTTCTTTTCCAAACCATATTTATACACCATAATCATTCTGGGTAGCCTACTCGGAGACCACGAATGTTCTCAGTTGACACGGCACAAACTAAGCCACTAATTTGTAGGACAAGAAGATTCTCTTTGTCCTCTCGGTGAGAAATACACATTGCCCTAAGAATTTTACATCCGGAAAGCTTTTGGCTGGAAGTTCAGATTACAGCAGAACTTGAGGTTCACAAACCAAACAGCAGAACTTAAGGTTCACAAACGTCTTTACGTATGGAAATACATTTTTTAAAAAGCTGTTTAATCGTGGGTTCATACAAAAAGTTGTTTGCGAATAACCCCCCCCCCCCCCGACCCTCTCAATGTATAATGATTTTGTTTTTCCCTAAAGTGTCTCCAGTTCGTTGTACAAACTGGCTTGTGCCTTCAGCGGTACACGGGGAAGTCACATTGATGATTCTTTCTTGTATACCACACCTTCAGCCTCGAGTTTTTTAATGATCTTTTATGACAATATTTTATGACTTGTAAATTGACTGCAGAGACACCCGATTCCTTTGTGCTTTTGTTTGTAAGGAGCTATGTGCAATGTTTGTTTTTTTCATGGTCATGTTGTAAACCTTTGGGGGTTTTTTGGTGGGGGTTTTTTCATTGCTACATTGTCAATCTCAATCATGTTCTTTGTTTATGATTTCGTTCCATTGATCACATTTCTTGTAGAGTTTCTACTCAATTCTTGATACATTTTCATTTCCCTGCACATTTCATAAGTGTTTTGGTACACCTGAGTATTTTATTGATTCGCATAAGTTTCTTGAAGTCGTGTGGTTGAATTGGTTTGAAGTGCTTCTCGGATCTATGTTGCTTAATATGTATACAGATGCGCTGTACAAATTTTTATTTCAAATGTAAGCTGTTTTGTATGTCTGCATATTTATTTTTAGACACATAGGGGGAAGGGGGGTTGGGGACAACAGAATTTTTGATAAAACCACTTATGGAAATGCAAGAAATATTTTGTACTTAAAAACTGTAGTACAAATTTCACAGATAGCCTAAAAATATTAACGAGTAATGGATTGGGGATGAGCAAATAAAGGGAAATAAAAAGTATTTACTTTGATTATTTTAAATACTTCAAAATACCATTTCTGCCCGCCAACTTGCCAGAGTGATGAGGGCTGCTGTCTGCCAGAGCCACAGTATTTACTGGACGTGTGCTGGTCAAAAGTTGGCTGTTGACCATCAGTGCATGGTCTGGTGGGTCGGTCACTCATTCTCTTCATTATATTATATACGGTCAAAACTTTCAGCCCTTCTTAACATTAGCCTCTCTGTGGCACATCAATCAATAATATATGTTCTATTTAAAGCTCTATTATTTATGTAAAGTATTCATATTTGTTGCTACATACAGTTTTACAATGAAAGTATGAATTTACACCCATTACTTACTAGTCGGCCTGTGTACAAGTATTATGCCTGCCTGTTCAGCCTCCTGTCATTGTGATAAACTGTCCTACCACTTGTCCGCTATTTATTTTTGTGAACCACTCATTCTACATGTCATATGTCACTTTTTTTTTTGTATTTTTTTTTCTTTCGGTCACCTCGACATATTATTGTGTAGTAACAAGTTTTGTATGAAGAGTTAGCTGTTGTCAGTCACTTCCTTTAGACCATTAGGAGAATTTGTGGCACGCTTCCCACATTCATGTCCATTTTGTACATTTTTGTATTGTTTTGTGTTCTTCTTTTTCGATTAATTAAGAACAATACTTAGTTCTGAGGAAGTAATTTCCTATCTCCATGTCAACATCTTTGAACCATAGACGTAAAAGTTATTGCATGAGTTAACTTTGAGCAGCCGAGGACAGGCGTAGAAAGTGTTTAGCTCAAGATCATATCCTGGTATGTGTGATGTGTAAATGATGATTTTTGCTTGACGATGATATTAATTACGGCATTATAGCAGAATCACTACATAATTTACAAGGCCTGCTATGATTTTATTATTGGAGTTCAGCCTTGTCTTTCATGCATGTGTCCTACTTGCTTTGTGTAATGGCTTGGTGGAGCCTCACCGCTGTAAGCTGACAAAACGCTTTTTTCTTAATCACAGCACTTTCGAAATAAAGAGCTTTTTTGTCAGTGTAACCATTTTAAAAGGCGTTCTTTCGAAATTTGAATTTTGATTTATTATGATATTCAAAAACTAGTCACACTTTCATTTTACCTTTTTCACCCAATGAGGGTAAATGATCAGGCTTTCGATTTAGCAAATAATTTGGGACCCAAAATGAAAAAAGGCGTTTTGCCAGCTAAGGGCAACTCATTAAGTATTCAAACATTCTCTGTTGGCACAGCTGATAATCTTTGTGTGTACTTTTATAGGTGCGAGCCACTTTTGTCAAGTCTGTGTTATACGGTACATATAGCGAAGCTTTTAGATGATCAGTAGAGCTTTTAGTCATTAGTTATTAACAGACTAGAGAAACATACGGTAAATCGTTGAAGCATTTCATCAGTTTAATTTAAAATGCAGTTGGAATTTCTGAAGGAGAGAGAGTGAGATTTGAAATTTCTACTGTTGCTAAGTTTTGAAAAGAGAGGAATTCTCATTTTAAAATCTTTTGTGAAATTATTGTAGTAGTACTCATTGTGTCAATTGCTCTCATTTATTCTTTTCTTCAATTCAAAAACTAGCGTAATAAATCAGCATGCATATATACATGATTCATATATTGTAGTGGCTGCCTTGTCATATTCAAACAAATTTTCATAACCATGGCATAATATGGACAGTTGGTCAAGGTTGTCACACTTCAGTTAGGAGGTAGCCTATAGGGTACAGAATGCTGTCAGTATTTCAATGGAAAGTTTTCACCAAATAGGCCCGTGATTCGCTGTCTCATTTATTATTTCACCAGAAGTCATACCAGATCCATTTTCATGATGACAACAGGAGTTAAAAAATTACAATTTTATGGATATTAACAATGTGAAGGAGCACAAGGTGACCAATGCTGTAGATAATTCATTTTTATGGTATATTATCTTATACAATAACGTTCTACCTGAACAAAGTACTTTTAATGATACATTTTTTTTTTTACAGTGAGTACTAAGTAAATTATTGCATGAATGATCCTATGATGTGAACGGTGCTATTTACTCTACAAAGAACTTACATTTAAAGTTTTGGATTTTTCTAGCTCAGAATGACTATATACAACCGTACCTTGTAACCGTCAACATAAACTGACCAAAACCCACTCCAAAATGTTTTGAATTTTGAATTGTTCTTAATAATGTGAGGGGAAATATTGCCCTTTTTCCTGATACAAAACTCTGTGAAGCATAGTGTGAGATGTATGAGCGAATGTCCTTATGTGTGCAACTGGTGCGTAGCCTACCGATATTTCAGATGGAGCAAGGGATTGGTGTTCCTACATGAATATACACATTCATCTGAAAATACAGTAGAATAAGTTAAGTGTGCGCAACATTTTAAAAGAACTTTTTCTGAAGTCATGTTCCCAACTGTTAGATCTAGTGACTAGAAAAAAAGTTTACAAAGTCTACTACTGTCTTTTCCTGTTACAAAGCTGATGATTTTATGAAAAAAAATTAAATTCCCCGAATGAGCAGTTTTAATTTAAGGCCATTCAATGAAAGCCACTGGAACTACATGTACTAGGGTCAACTGCTCGTGGTTTTGTTTGTTTTGAATTAATATTTTCACGCTTAATTTGTAGTATTGTGTAGAAGGCAATGTCTTTAAATTTCAGCATTACAAACATTCAGCCTACTTAATTAGAAAACATTTTTTTTTAAATGATAGATTAAATTATTAAATTGTGCATAAATTTATTATTTTAGGTGTTAACGCTTTGCCATCACAAGCATTTTGGGGGAAATCCAAAGAAACTTGGTGGTAAAAATCGCAGATCGGTGAGACGTGACGACAAAGTGTTAATTCAAGGGTTACTGAGATGTACTTCTGTACTTGAGTTTTGGCTTTTTCTGGTGTGAGCTTGTTGTTTAAGTTTAACCAATTTTGTCTCTGTGCAGTTCAGAAATAAAGAAAGCACGAATGTAGCATTTGTTTGGCTTTACTGTGTATGTGTGATTCCCTCCGGGACAGTGACACAGACTGTAGTGTCTTTAGGCTATTCTCAAAGTGGGGTGGGGACATTTCTCGTTCAAGCAGAGTAGAATTGTAAATGGGCTGATTCATGTCACGCTCATAACTGTGCCTGATCTACAACAGGGAACTGCTGTTTTTCTTTCCTATTCCTTACTATTGTCATTTTCCTCTACTTCTTTTGTTGTGACCCGCTATTTCCGGGGTGCCTTGATAGTAGAAGCAGACTTTGTGCTGTTGAAGCTAGAGAGGTGAGCAGAGTAAGTCTGATTCCCTGTAAAGACTTCTCTGTTGACACCCACCCCTTGGCGCTCATATGACCTTATGCAGTTGCGAGCGCCGTAAAACCCTCTACTATAATAAAAAAATAAAGAGTGTGTGTGTGTGTTTGTGTGAGAGTGTGTGTGTGTGTTTGTGTGAGAATGTGTGTGTGTGTGTGTGTGTGTGTGCGTGTGTGTGTGTGTGTGTGTATATGTGTGTGTGTGTGTGCTACTTCTTTCCTATCAAACATCTTTCATCTCTTTCTCTCCTCCTTTTTCTTTGTTTTTGTTATTCTGTAACCTTTGGCACATATATGACCAAATTGTGTTGCAAGTGCTGTAAAACGGTATTTATCTTTGTCGAGATAACAACAGATACCAACTGATAACTAATACTAATACCAACAAAATAACAACAAATATCAACACAAACGTCCTCATTTAGTTGCTTTTACTTGGTTGGTAATGTAGTCTACATCGGTATATATCTTTGTCGAAATAACAACAAATAACAACTGTTAACAACAAATAACAACAGATAACAGATAACAACACATAAAAACTGATACCAATAAACAACAACAGATAACAACAGATAACAACAAATAACAACAGATAACAACACATAACAACTGATACCAATAAATAACAACAGGATTTGTCAGATTTAGGCTACACAATCATTCAGGAAATTTATACGATATTTTAAATCTTTTAATGAATTTAATGTTAATGTCTCAAAATGTCAAGTCATGTCATGAACATTGGTGAGAAAAAAGATATGAAGTGACAGGATTACTGTTTGTTACTTTTGATTTTACTTTCGATTTGAATTTTTTTTTTTTTTTTAAGGGACTGGTAGTTGCTTGGAGCTGTGCACCTACTAAAGTAGGGGCCTTGTTGACCACATGAATATTGGTTTTTGAGGCTGGAGTCAAAGTATTTTTGTGTTATCAGTTGTTATTTGTTGTTATCAGTTGTTATCTGTTGTTATCTGTTGTTATCTCGACAATGATAAATACCTCCATAAAACGCTTACTAAAACTAAAAACGGTCAACAAGAAATACACTTTACAGTTATTGAGCCAAAGCACCCGCTTTGATTCTCAGTGCCCATCAAGACTAGCAGAGAAGAATGCAACGTCTGTATAGAAAAGGACAGAACTACCTGAGTGTGTTTTTTAGGCCACACTTCACTTCTTAGCACCAAAATCTACAATTAAGTTGTTTTAACTTGTTTGTTCTCATTTTCTCAAAGTATTCCATTCAAGGATTTAAAATTTTAATATTTTTTTCAATTTTGGGAATCATTATCAGTTACATAATAAAATGGCAAATTAGGTTAGGGTGAAACTGTGCTATTTGAAGGACCATTTTCAAAAGCTAAAAACTCAAAAAATACATGTATTTGAAATAATCTGCACCCAAATCTTAGGAAAATGATGCTAGCTTTTTTAAAAACAGTGAATACTAATAATTTTATTACTTTTAGAAGACTTGCATATTAGTAAATGACAAAAACAGTCAAAATAACGAAGTAAAAAAATCATTAGATTTGCTAGGCGGATTGGAAAAAACATTTGTGTCACGACGCAGTGGAATCAGGTGTTCGTCAATTTTGCGGCATGTGAAGTTATTGGTATCATCTTGAAGGTTGTTCATATGTCTTGTTTTGACTGTAAAAAAATACCAATCTATCTTGAATAGAAGATGAAATATTTATTTGTGATTGAAGGAGGTAAGGGTCGCTAGGTATCAGATGTAAAATTAGCGAGAAAATGGCTGCCAAAGTTTGGTGACTTTCAAAGCTTGAGAGTCCTTGAGAACTAAAAATCTGCAATTTTTGTGCCTTTAATCAGCATTTTTCAATAAATT